CATGAATGTCAAAGAATGCAACGGCGGATTAGGGGGCTGAACCCAGCAAGTATAGGTGCTTCTCGTATGGACCGCCCTCCGTAGCCTTCAGAGATTGCAGCTGTGGGTATATGGCAAGTGTCTCTTGCATAGGGGTAAAGAGAACAAGTCTTTGAGAACTTAGACTGAACGAAGTAATGAAAGGCGAAGAATGCGACGAAAGTATTGAACGAAGAAAATCCAACACTAGTAATAGTTGCACTTTGCATACTGCAGCAACACATAAACTGGTAGTATCTGGGGCTGGATGCAATAGCTTCGGCCCCCATAGCTGGACCCCGCAAGGAAAGGTCAGACGAGCGCAGAAACGAATATGTTGATCCTTTCAAAAGCATGCACCAACCTTCCCAGCAGTAGGCACAACAGAAACGGCTTTTGAGTAAGGAAGGTCGGAGATGAGATGTATGACTTATCCCATAACCCATATATCCTCCTGCTCATGTTCTATATACTAGTGTACTGAAACAGGCCCAAATTGAAGCCCTTTTCAGCTTCTAGAGGCAAGCTTTGCAGTAGAGCCCGCTCAGTCATTTCCATCGCGAATCGAAAAATATCAGCGGGAGCGATGTGAGTTGAAGTAATATATATTTCCATCATTCTGAAAGACTCGCAGATCTTTTGTGCCGTTCCTTCCTTGAACGACATGTCGGCTGACCCGACTTGGATCTCCTTTGACACATCACTGAACTCAGAGTGGGACGAGGAATGTGTGATATGTAAGACTCACACTAACTTGGAAGAGATGTGAGATACAATTTCAAATATTACAAGTGTTGTCGTTCGACAAATCTGGTTTGTGTGTATGCATCCACAAGGCAATATGTTTGTGCTCGAAGTGCACTGTTGTCAGCCGAGTCTTCAGTACTTGGCAGAAGGAGTATCTTGGAGGGTGCCGAAGAACATCTCCAGGTGCGAGGACATTCCCAAGGTCAAATTTCTTATAATGTTCCGAGAGTTTGTGTTTTGGCGACCATGCATCATGACCTGGGTGGTCTCAGTGGGAGTGGAAGAACAAGTCTAGATGCGAGGACTGACCCGAGGCAATATTTTTTCTACCAATTCGAGAATCTAGTGTGTTTTAGCGACCAGACATCATAAGCTGTGTGGTCTCAGAGGCCACACAAGCAACTCTGTAGTCGTCAAGGACAAACCACAATGACACAGGGTCAAGATGTACCTCGAAACGTGATGTACGGTATAGGAAGGCCGAACTCAATGTCAGTATACCGTCACACCCATCTTCATCACTGAGTGTTTGTGTATAATGCACACAATATATACTGTGTCAGCAAACGGTAGGTCTTGGGAGGTATTTCCGTGACGTCTCAGAGTAGGAACATACGCCGGACGACGTAATTTAGCGTTATATACTTCACAGAACCTGCAAAGTAAAATCGCTCTCTGTAATTTAGAGAGCAATCGATTTGCCGTAGTGGTGGACCCCAAAGAGACCCCGGAAGGTCACTTTGTGACTTCCCATTAGGATGGGAGTAGACAGGCAACACGTCAGTTGGAAATTGAGACGACATGCGAAAGCAGAACCACGTCGCATCTTCTTCTGCATGGCCGAGATCTTCAATAACTGACGATATAGTGAACAACAATGAATGTAAATCCCAAATGTCGGTCGGAGAGCAGAGAACACATTCTCAGGGAAATCTACCAACAGGAAGCTCGAAAGACATGGTGACAATATTGCATTCTTCTCATGAGACTGGACCATGCTCTTCTTGTGAGAAAGAAGGAAGATTATTGTCATTCATGACAATAGATCTAGTTCGATCTCTGATGCCAGCTCAACGGAGCAAAGGGCTTAAGGAGTGTGTCCGGCAATTGAGGTAGTGAGATATGCGTCACTAGCTGTGGACTCGCAAGGCTTGGTTCCTCGCCATTGTCGCCCTGGAACAGGCCGACATTGACATGGGGAGGTTGTTCCTGACTTGAGTATATAGTATTGCTTTGTATTGATTGGAGAGAAGGAATGAGGAGTAACAGAGGATAGGATAGTGGCGCCTCTTATAGTTCTTGGACCGGTCTGTGATATGGCGTTTGCCGTGAGTTTGAAGTCAAGTATGGGAAAGTTCCGTTCATATATTCTGTAATAGAGACATAGTAGTCTCTTAAAGATGTGTAGAGAGTGGAATATCCCGAGAAGATTCTCTAGGAACTTGCGAGTTTATATAGCTAAGAAATCAACCTAATTGGATTCACCTACTTACTGCGCCATCAACACAATTTGGATTCCAGTTCGCATTGATAGATGCTACGTGAAGTAAAGACGGGAGACGTAAGTGATCCACTTGATATCATCTTCACGGAGTAGACTGGCGCTAAAGTGCTGTAGATTGACTGCACTGCACCTAGATACCTCGAATTTGTTTAGGAGGAGTACTGCTCACAAAACAATCATTCACTTGATCTGTACATCCAACGCTAATCGGCTCAGGCTGTTTGTCCTGTACCACGAGAATATTTAAATATTATTATTCAGATGCTATGTTTAGCCTGAGAGGATAATCGATAATATCCCGTCGCTTTCATCACTTAGCCGTCACTCTCATGACTTAGCCGTCACTATCATCGCTTAGCCGTCACTCCCATCAGTTACCTGCCCCTATTCACGCTTACTGCGGGATATCACCATCACAGATGAGAACATAATCTGATTTAATAATTTGTCATTGCGCCGCACTGAATACTAGGAATAGCGAGTTCAAGCCAACACCCCCATCGGGTCCCACCTGGGCAGGACCTTCGGACTCTGGTCTAAAATTGCGCGCACTTCACTCGAAACGAAGTCCGAGTCCACCACTGCCTGAAGTGTATATTCATCCATCCAGCGATCTGTCATCACAAACCAGCCCTTATCGCCAGCAGCTTCGCCCCACGAATTCTCGACACGCCAGCGCACTGGCTTTCCATCTTCGATATGCACACCTGTGATGACCATGGCATGGGTCATTGCTGATTCTCCGCTCACCAGCCTTTGGGCTTTGCTCATTCCCAAGGAGATATTGAATCCCAGTGTGAGGTCCATGATGTCGAGATCCATGATTCCCAACGTACTGTTGCTGAATTTACCTACGTCACAACCGAAGAACACAGGATGCCCGGCCTTGAGCATTGAGATGACTGCTTTCTTGAGGATCTATGATAGAAGCGTGTTAGTGAGAGAGAATCGAAGAAGATGATATGTCCACGTACTTTCATCTCCACATTGGCATATGTGAGCGGTCGTCCTTCTAGCACATTCCCCAACTTCTCCACGGTCAACAGTCGGTTATATTCATTGCGCGGATCATTGACCAAGCTGAACAGGCGCGCAGGAGCGACGGTGCCCTTCCTTACAGCTCCTAGGCTCGTGGCTTGACGAGCAAACTCCCGTGGAGTGAGTCTAATCTCTTTAGACTTCCCTTCAGCATCATAATACTGCCACACAAACGTCTCATCAGGACTAGGAGGGGGTCCCAGCAGAAGAGTAATCATCGAGTGGATCTCCTTCAAGTACCGCTCCTTAGCATCCGCCAAGCCGGTAGCATCACCACTTCGCACCAGCCGTCTCAACACAAGCGCCTGCTCACGCAACTTAGCCGTGAGCAACCAATTCATCTTGGAGCTATTCTGCGCATGGTATGCATCCGGATACAGATCATGCGGGACGAGACCATACTTCTCAATCAAGTTGACGACCATGTCCCACTGGCCGCCATCACTGACCGGGTCTTCGAGGAGTTTCTGGACCAGACGACCTGAAAGGTCATCGTCAGCAGTGGTGATAATCTGCTCGAAGAACCAATTCGCCTTCTCCAGCTTGTCCCAGTAAAATAGGTATGCTTGGCTCAGCTCAAAGTCCTTGAGGTTGTACGCCTTCATCAACGGCACTCGGTAGACGTTAGTCGATGCGAAGAGCCAGCATCGGCCGGATGATCGCTGGTTCGTGATCGGGGAGCCTTCGATGGGAACTTTGATGTTGAAGATATGGAGGTCGGATTGGAGAGCGGGGCGGTTGGCTAGCACTTCAGTGTAGGGCTGACTGGCGAGACTAGATATGGCGAGACGGTTCTGTTGTTATCCGTAAACAGAGTTAGTTTGGTTACAAATGAGAGAGCTGGACGGGTTGCGACACTTGCCTTGGCATTGCCCAGTAAGGTCTCGTTCCAGTCTTGGACGTGCTGGAGGGAGAGAGTGGAAGTGCGTTCTCGCACATGGTATGGTGGTGCTGTGATTATCAGTATATGTCCTATCTAAGACAGAAGCGGGTGCTATCGTACGAGGCTGGGTTGACTCCTTTGTGTAGAGTGGCAGAGAGCAAGTATCGGCATCTTCAACCCACTCGCGGTGCGAGCGCTTTTCCTCACTATGGCTAATGGGTTCTGGCTTGGAATAACTGGCACCCATGGTCACTGGATACGATTTCTAGTAAAACCGAAACAGAAATGAAGATATATGGGTGCCTATGGGGGGAGACGAGGGAAGATGACCGATAAGGAAGCAGACAGGCAGGCGGAAGTGGTCATTCTTAAACGTGAAGGACCCGGGGAGCCAGCGAGCGGGGAATCGAACAGCGCAGGATAAGATATAGGCGTTCTATTGGCCTGGCGGGCAAGGGATTATCGGCTAATTGTTGATAATTGGCCGCTCTGGCGGAAGCAAGGCTTAACGCCCAGACGGGGTAACCAAGGATGATCACATTCTCGGCGTGAATTCCGACATGCGGCAAGGCTGCCTTTTAGCCCTACAAATATCTAAGGCATCAAAGTTATGTACACTACTAAACAAACGATTGATCGCACTTAATCTGGAGATCAGAAATATGATATTCGCATTACTTTAGCATTACGCCGCTTGTTGATCGTCGTGACTACCTATGTCTTGAACCTGGCGACCCCCAACATATTCATTTATGTAGTATTGGCAATACTAGTACAGCTTGTTGATGCACCATACTCAACTAGATCACCATGCTATCGGACGCAATCTCAATTCTCACCCCTAGGAACATATATACACGCGAGCTTGTCTTGGCTTTATCCCATAAATTGGAGACTACTGGACCCCAGCACCACGTTAAGGTGCAAGCTCATCGCTGGGGGTAAGTAAGGAAGTAGATAACACTATATAGCGGGAGGTACGTACCTATACCTACGACTTGCGACGGCAATCTCTAGCCCATTTCCTCTTTTTCTCCCCTGCTTCGTCGTAGCTCTCTCCTCACCTTCCGATCTGCCAGCCCTTAGTTGAATACACTGCGAGCACCTTGAAGAACCATGGGCGCTATGCCTGAGAGCAGGGATAAGGTCTCTGAGCAGGCCTTGAAAGGAATATCTACGCTGACCGGCGGCAGCCCAGGAGTTTGACTTGCTCGGCAACAGTTCATTATCTTGCGAATGGAGTGCTGATACCGGCAAGATCTTGCGGAAGCGAGATCTGTCCAAATCGAGCTTCTCATTTTCGGGGGTCATGAGATATTCGGATCCCCAACTCTCCAGGGCAGACTCGCTTTCCGCCATGTTCAGTGCCATGACCTTGGTGCTAGGGCCAGCCTTCCACGAACTGTACGACAACTCGGAGATCCTGTCTCGAAAGGATGGAAGCAGCCTCACGGATCTCCGACCCCCCTTCCCAGCGTTTCGAAAACCGTTGTCGTGAGATCTTTATGGCCTTGTGATTGCCTCAGACTTGTCGAAGCACCATACCGCGGGGTATGCCGACGCTTTGTTCATATCCTAAGTCTGATACATCCGGCGCTTGACAGCTACGGAGTATAAGCATGGGCTGAAGCGTAATTTCGAAGAACGGAATATCATACAGGAACAATAACACGGAAGTTTGTAGAGGGACAGTGACGAATCGATCATCTGATAAACGATGGACAAGTAACAGTACTTGGGCGAACGAGATGTAAGAGATGAAATGCCCAAATACTAGCTAAACAGCTGGTAAATAGCTAGCAAATTATACAGTCCGCCTGGTGAGGCCAACGAGGACAAATTGAACCCGCGATGAAGTGAGGTGAGGCATAGATGGTTAATGAAGGAAATGAAGGCGAGGAAGTGCGGTGATAAGGACATGTTTATCTGCGTAGCATTGTGATGCGACAGAAGGTGCGATGAGGGTGTGGAAAGTCCGATGTTAGGAACTGGCGCTGAGACGAAACTGGGAAAGAGCAACTATGTGTCACAATAACCAGATTTGCAGAATACTGCTCACCACGTCCTTGTATGTACATGAGTGTAGACACTACTAACAGATATCACCAGGATGATGAGTGCTCCCAACATCTGTACCTATGTATATATTTATTTATAAGCAAAATAGTATTGGCTCTAGCAAAGTTGTAGTTAAACCCGTATCAGGTCCTTGCTATCTAAATGTTTCTGATAGTGCGAACAGGAGTCCCAAAAAACAAAGCAAAGCATGGGCACCTATCCGGTGACTCTCGCTCATATCACCGCCTTAGTACCACATTTGTGCGCCTGAAAAGGTCGAATATCTTGCTCAACGTCAGCCTTCCAGTAGGGCCAAATACACCGCATGTCTAACAGTCAGATAACCAACTCCATCGAGTTGTAGATAAATACACATGAGAAGCCAGAAGGGACTAAATCCTCCACTCCGAGATTGTCCAATAAGTCGGTCGCCCTAAGACGGCGAATGAGGAAAACAGGCCTCATATGGCGCAGTGATTCTTCTCTGGGCTTCATGCCCTATGCATCATTGCGTCGTCAAGGTAAATCTGCTGCTCACGGCGCATGAGTGATAGAGTATGCCCGGGATTCTGAAGGAACCGATAATCCACCCAGAGATTGAAAAAGTCGTCTCTGTGGTTTAGTAGGCCCGCTATACTATCGAAGGTATGGGCTATATCACTGTATTCGGGATTCTGACTGTAGACCGCGTTGTTGAAGGTGACAAAACCTTCTGTCACGATAAAAGCAGTTGCATAGTTGGCAAATGCCCAGTCGGCTGCTACAGCCATTTCTTCTGTGTCTGAAATGATCCAAAACCTTCTAACGCGGGACAGACGACAAAACGGCAATAAAACTTCGTTGAAGTCGTATCCAAGTCCGTTATTGCAAAAGGTCGAGTTAACTTGGCCGTTTCTGATCCAGTCCACGCCATTGTATTTGCGTAGGCGAATCATCATAGATATAACAGCCTCTGGAGTAGATCCAAATTGATGTGATCCCTCGTACATCGGCTCACTCCAATATTTGTAGTGTGGGTTTCCTCGATCACGGTATTTTCTCGAGTCGTCGATAGTGCACAGCATTTGAGTTAGTTTCGATATTTTCTCCCAGAGCAAGATAAATTGGCCGCAGTCGTCAGGGTCAGGCGCATAGATGTGAGCAACAAGTTTAACTTTATCGTACGGTACCCTTGCCAGATTACTGAATTTGTTATAATCTCGTCTTCCGATCACCCACTTCACACGTAGTAGTTTACAGCGAATCTCAATCCACGGATCTTCGAAAGTTGGGAAAAGATGGATGTCAAATGTATCGTAAAGACGGTCGGCTATATCATGATAGATTGCCTGACTGGTTCGAAGGACCGCAAGGGAGCCCTCCTTAACAAGATTCTCCCAGATGAGCAAGCGTATTTCGGAGGGCAAAAAGATGAAATAACCAAATGGTGAAGCGCTCATATTGGATGTTGGCTGATATTACTGATTGATAAAGATGTTAAGAGAGTTGTATTGGGTAATGTGGGCTATAGTGCGGACTAAAGGAGAAATGGTAAAGTCATGTTCATAGTGACATCAAAATGTCAAATCAGCGCCTAAATTCGTAGAGTATTGAAGGCATCATGACGACTTCCATGACAGACTTCCATGACACAAAAGCAGGAGTAATTCTTAGACTGTTTGGCAGCTCAGAGACCATATATAATCACAATAATATCTACCATGACTTTTAATCCAGCGCGGTACCGCCCAACACGATCTACGCAGGCTTTACCATACAGTACTTGATCGTTCTATATATCCTTGCTAGAAACCGACGTGGAATTCCTTAGGGCGTAGAGACAATCTCTTTAACTCACATACAATCGCCATACATCAAATGCGGCCCTCATTTCATCATACTGTTCATCTTCTTCCACACACCTACGCGACTTCGCATTAGCCCAGACATGATACCAAAGAGAAGTAAAGAGAAAATGTTGACTTCACATACTCTCAAAAGAGACAAATCCAGTCTTGTCTTCATCATAGAAGTTGAACATGGCCTCCAACTGCATATCGTTCAGTTGGCTGCCGCTGCTGCTGCCTTTCACGGCGTTCTTGAACTCGGGAAGAGCGAGCTTTCCTATTCAGATACATGCAGTATTAGTATCGAGAAGCCACTAATGGGCATGTTAGACGTGGTATTTACCTTCGCCAGATTTATCCTGGATTCCTTGTTAGTATCTAATAACCCACATGATTTTAAAGGTACGACTTACCGCCTGCTGGAAGAGAGCCTTCAGCTCATCGTAAAAGCCCTGTGTTCCCTTGGATTCCTACATAATCAGGATAAGTCTATGACAAGGAGTAATACACCTAAAAATAGCAGGCACTAACCGAAGCAGACATTTTGTATATTCTGAGAGTTGATAATTACTAGTAAGTATGAAAATGGATGTGTTAAGCACGGCCAGATCGATGTCGTGGAATTTTTCATCTCCACTTTTCCTTCTCGGATGCGCGACACTCACTCGCTGGAGGAGCGACCCACTTGCTTATTTGGGTCATAACCATGGATTAAGTTGACGACCGATATTCCCTTCATGCATATGCCCTACTATGGAGTGAGTGACGCCAGCGTAAGAAGAGTGTCTTTAGAGGGTCTGATCTTCGAATTATTCATACTCCTGCATTCTTCTTTTCGGAGATTTTTGCTCTCCCACTATCCTCTGTACCGTGTAAACCCCACGGTTTATGGAGAGTACTAACGCACCTGTGGCACAATTGCATATATTATGTTGTCAGAGGGAATTACTCGGCATTGTAATTGTGTGCTCAACTCCCAATGTTACGTACCTCTCTGTCCCTTCATGGATGTTAGTCATTCTATGCAGTTGAAATTCGACACTCTAGCTGGGACTAGTAGTAACATGCTTATGTGAGGAATCTGCGACCGTGCATTGACCCTAAAAGTTCTGCGTAGAAGTGGTCTGTTGAAAAGCCTTGATTGACTGAACTATCCACATTTTGTATATTCATGTCTTTTTCAATTGAAGAAGGGTTCTACTGGCAGGTTGTTTTACCTGGTTAGCATCCCTCATCAACACAGACTCGACCCCAGGCAATCACTTCCCAGTATAGCATCAAATGAGCGATATACAAAGCACTCTCTGCTTTCCAAAAAAAATCAATAATGCCAAGCAATTGGTCCCTGCCAATATAATTTTCGATAAGAAAAGTAAGCATCAGGATCAGGATCAGACATCTTGGCACGAACATCGCCGACGGACCTGCGTCGGAACCCCGGTGACACGATAAGCAGCCGTCTGCAGGATGCACGGGATGTGACCAATATCACTGCGGGGTTCCTTGAAGAAATGTCTCGCTTTGCTAATCGGCTATCAATCTTGCCTCACTTTCTTTCCTCCGAACACGGTGGAATCCTCCGTTACGGCAGGTTCAGGAACACGTCCAGCAACTTCGGAAAGTTGGGCGTTCCGAGACCGCTGACGGGATCCCATCTTTTTTCACCGACTGTCAGCACATTGTTCATGTATTAAAGCAAGGTGATAAATAAAGAAAAGGATAATAATACCCTGGAGCAGTGTAGAATCCTTCCGTCCCGCAGCCCGGGTTTGAACCATTCGTGATATCGTTCAATGCCCACGCATTCCGGTACAGAACCGGGTTGAGGAAGCCCAGCGGGCCCTTTCCTGCCGCGATACGTTTCTCGATAATGCGGTTGATCACGGAGGAGAAGATCGGAGTGCCTTTGTGTAATTATCATTAGTAATTGAATTAGGACGGAGATTGGTGGATGTGACCGGGGTAGGGTAGTAACGCACTAGCACTTGTTCCGCCCTCGAGGATGAATTCTCCCGCGTTGTATTCGGCAATGTTGTCGCCGTTCGCTGCGACGTCGGGGTACCCGCGTCCCAGGCGGTTGTAAATTCCACCGTTTTTGCCGAAGCTGGCGTTGCCTTCGTAGTAGGGGTAGGGTGGGTTGTGGTTTTTGAAGTACCTGATTTTGTTAGACTGGGATGAAGTTTAGGTCGGAAGGACATACCCCGCAACTGCTTCGGCTTGGTAGTCTGGAATAGTGTAGATGTTGCTGAAGCCACCGCCGGAGGAGTACGCGATCGAGTAAGGGTGGCCGGCCGGGTCAACGACGGCGCTTTCCCCATCCGCGATGGTCTTCCCAGGGTAAAGCTTCGTGGCGCCGACGTTGGTCACGTAGGGGCAACTAGTAACATTAAACATAGCTTTCAAATAAAGGAGAAGTATACATACGAGTTAGGGAACGCGGGACTGAAGATGGTTCCGTTTCCGAGACAGCCGTTGGTCGAGTCATCGCCTGGAGGACCTGCAACGCCGTCATCGCCAGATGCGAAGAGGATGGAAATTCCTTGGAGCCCGAGTTTCAAGAATCTATTATTGGTGTCAGCCTAATTATGTATAAGCAGAGGTGATTGAGTTATACTCGTTGCATTGCCTCTGCTGATAGTAAGCAGGGAGGTCCGCCTCCTGGCCACCGTAAGAGACGGAGATGACGTTCGTGGGCTTGTAAACACCACACATCAACTGTCCCTTGTAACCACCGGTTCCATTATCCGGATAGGTTGGATCGAGGGTCGGGCTGTCTCCGCATTCTCCGTAGGCACAGTAGGTGCAGTACGACTGAATCATTAGCTCAATCCCAAAGGTCAAGTGAGCCAACTTACCCCATCAACAGCATCAAGAAAAGTGTTAAAGAAGCCATCCGTCTCAATCTCCCCACTTGCATAGTTAGAGTCATCTGTCTGATAGAGCGTAATGGTTTGAGGATAGACAATTGGATACGCGAGCTGAAAGTCCAAATCAGACTCCGCACCAGCATCAGCGACAGGAACGGGCGCGGACGCTCCATCGATGAATGCCGGCTTAGGGTGTGTTCCTTTCGGAATGTACGGGGTGAAGTTACGGAAAAAGAGATCAAGATCTTCCTGGGCGTAGTAGTCTCCTTCTTCGAAGATTCCAAGCGAATTGCTGGCGCTGACGTTGCCGCTCGCATGAGGAATCTTGTACAGAGCGGCAACACAAGCGGGAGTAATGACCTCGTCGCAAGTGCTGAGAGACGTCGCGTTAACCGTGGTCTGCTTCAAGGGCTTGTACTTTTTAGTGTGCTTGGCAGACGACCCCTTGGAGGTTAATGGCAGAAGAACTCCAGGCTTCACGAAGTCAATGTGTTGTTGGATCTTCTGCGGGACGCGGTACCTGGTCGTCTGTTAGTATGCAATATGACTTGGGCAATTGGGTGGGAGGCATACTCTTCGGCTGCGAGAGTTTTTAAGCCGGAGATCTTGTCGGTGTAGTGGTAATACTTGGTGTGGAGGAGGCTTTCCGCCTCTTTTGTAGTTGCATCAAACACAATCCAGCCTTTGTTTTGGGTGTGGATCAAACGAGACTCGTCCACACCGGATTCAATAAGCCAGTTTCTCACCGCATCAACAGTCTCATTTGACGGTGCAAAGGCGCTGTGTACCTCTTCTTGAGTCCAGAATTTGCCGTAGTTGGGCGACACGGAGTCGGACCTGACTAGTTAGTCGGGATAATACAAAGGGTGAGAAAGCAACATACACGCTCATGAGATACTCATACGCACGATCAAGATTGCTCTGTGTCAGACCGATGCGCACCAAGACATGCTCAGTGCCATTGACCCGCCCAATCTTCTCCCATTTCGATGGTGTACCAGATCGTTTCTCGTGGATGACATGGTCGGAAGTTGGCAAGGCCACTGCAGAGACCGCAAGAGTCACACTGCAAAGTGTTGAGAAGAATCTCATACTGACTCCTTATCCCGTCTGTACTCTTCTCCAGTGTAAGAGAAGTGGTGACCAACACATATCGGCAACCTCCTCTTTATGTTGGAAAGCCTCCGACGCAACTCCGTATACACTCCGACGGGGTTGCATCCTTTCGGCATCCAAATCATATTAGGCACGGGAACTAGCAACGCTTCACTTGAACGGACCCTTATCGGACCATCCTGAATATATAGTTATGTAACTAAATGTATCTTATCCACCATTGTGACCAATGATGTCCCGAGATGACTGAAGGATGATTAAATGTCTTGCTTTTAGATGTCAATGGCGCCATGTGAGTGCGGACACCTGACGGGTGTTTGATTAATCGGAGAGGGGTACCCATGCATGCACGGGATAAGAGCTATCACATTCTGCCCTGCCATGCCTAGCAAACCTAGCTATTTGTAGTTTAATTTACGTTGGTTGACAGATTGACAGGTTTGACCGCTATTAATCGTTATCAGAGGGAAGAATTCACCGAAATATGTAGACTTCTAATGGGAAAGAGATAACAGGGGATCGAGGTCTGGAAACTGCTAGGACAAAGATTGGATGACATCTTGTGGAAGAAAAGGAGGATATAAGCACATATATTTTTGCATGCATTGATAATAGCGATTCTTATCTATCATCTAGCCATCCACACTAGAAATACTTGCTCGACAGTTGGTATTCAAATAGGTGTTTTCTATTATCATGTATTCACAGCATACATAATTCACCTTCCCTTTCCGCTCTAGTACAGCGGACATTAGCGTGTGAATTTTGAGACCGCCGCAGTCTAGGCTGAATTTGCCGCCACTTTTCGCCGCCTGCCGAGAGCTCGGGGACGTAGACTGTGCGTAAAAGTGCGTGGCATGTGCAACTGTTTTGGGGACAATAGGAGAACGGGCTGGCATTCTTGCCCCAAGCGATCTTCTATTAGAGCTCGAAATCTATCTTAGCAAAGTGTTGTGGCTCCTCAAACACACAGAATGAGAATTTGAAGGCCCAGTCTACATCACTACACATAATAGTTTCGTATCGTATTTGAACATTGATCTTACACAGGGAATCCGATTTCAGTAGGAAAAGATTATCAAGACGTGCTTTATTCGAGGTCACACACGGCAATTCGACTACAGGAACATCAACCGAAATCTGACCTGATAACAATTATCTGGCCACGATGGACAAGATATAACAAGCAAGCTACTAGAAGCTGATGTACATGTTGGACCTAGTCGTTGGATACAGCTTGTGCCTTGCAAGGGGGAAGGGGTATAGCATGACACAGTCAGACGCACGCTTGCAGGCATTCCTTGGAAAATAAATCCGGCTGGTTGACACGTTCATAGCATATCCGTGGATTTTTCGCGCTAGTACCCAAGCAACGCACACTACCTCTTTACCATAGCGGCACCTTTTGCCTCACGGGAGCGCCTGATTTATTTATTAGCAAGTTGGCTACTGAATTTTGAACAGACTTGTACAACCTACAGGGTAGGACATGAACGGGAGACTACAGAGTGTAATTATGTCTTATTCCGATACTAGATTTAGAAAAACATGCATTGAGTTTGCAAAAGAGTGCAAGATATGTTTAAAAAATCTATCAAACACACCTGGCTGTAGTAGCCTAACCATGCTAGTACTCTAGTTTAGAGCCATAGATCTCAACAGTCTGTTGGAAGAACACACTTGTAGGCCTGAAGCAATGTTAGCTGAGATGGGACCTAATAGTAGCGCTGCACAACCCACATCGTTCCGGATATATCCCTCTTCGCATTCACATCCCGGGATGCAGGCAAGCGTACAGGAGGCAGGGTTCGGTTCAGAACATGTTGCAACACAGGATGTGCCACAGGTATGGAACACCTCATTTGATCCCTAGATATATACTCTTAGTTTGGTAAATGAGACGGTACAAATGTAATAGTTTCATACACAATTGGGTGCGGCAGCAGTTAGAAGTGGGGTGCCTAGAAGGCCGAGGGCGAAGACGATCGAAAATGTCTTCATGATTGTGTGGGGGTCACCTGTCAAAGTGCTTTCTTGTTTATGATGCGCGGTTTGGGGGTAGAGGATTATTTTAGCAGAGCATAGAAGAATTGGGGGGTATTTATAGGTTTTGGAAGGCTCATGCCGAACGTGACATACATAGTCTGAATGTACTAGTTTGGTTACTCACATTCCACAAGATGTAACTACTTTAATGGTGCGTAGATCGTTATTGCTGTCAGTAACTTGGAATTCTGCTATTTCACTAGTATGCTAGGATATCCCTAGTCGCTTGAAAAGAAGCAGCAGTGCTGGTCACATATTTGCCACGAGCGGGCCAATAGATGGCACTAACGATCTTTTCGCGCTCAGCTGAAATATATTGATGTTTTTAGTGGTCCTGCGATGTCAGCCAGTCCACTACAATAGCGTACCATCACAGTATCCGGAGTAGATAGCTCACAAACTGCGCGCGCTGTTTTCAGGCGCTGGATAACCTCATTGATTGGGAAAAATAATCCGAAAGTGGGGAGTCTCACATGCCACGGGCTAAGATATCAGTGTGGCAAAACTGGTAATATATCGGAATAGTTTTTGGGAAGCTGGCCCAGCGTTTTTGAACCATGATTAGCCATGGCATCTATTATGTTAGGATGTTTAAAGGTTTCGGCAATCGTTCATAAACCTTCTATTTTTCAAAGTCCCCTTTTTTTTTTTTTTGTTTTTTTTTTTTTACTTGCAGGGCCGATTAGTACCAAGGTAAGGTAATATTAAATCATGTGTATGAGGTCAGCCCGTCAGGATTTCTCTAAATCATATCTTATCTGACCTATTTTTCCATCTCCAGTTTGACACTACTGCACCAAGTTCTGAACCCGCTTGTGTGACTGATGGCTCTTAGCCAAAACACCTATGTGATAGTGTCTATAGTATACTTGCCACAAGTGGGTGCATGTGTGGAAATCAATACGTGTACCCAGGCCATTCGAATTTTCTTGAGAATAGCCAAGATTGCCAGAGTCATTCATTGGCAGGAATATATTATGAGAGGGGTTGAAGCTGAAGCTGAGGCTGGAGGTGGAGCCGGAGCTGAAGGTGGAGTACGAGCTGAAAGATTGTAAATGGGGCAACCGGGGCAAATATTGCCAACTATTATTCTCACTAACAACCCCTGACCACCGGTCTTACTGTTACTTATCTTGTTAGCTAGTATTTACTCAGGTCAATCACTACTAGTGATTCCAAGTGCTATGTTGTCTGATAGTGAGTAAAATTATATATATAGACACATATTTCTGGATGCCTTCGTCTCTATTACCTCCGCCAAAAACCCCTACGTGTGGCGAGCTTTTTCATCTACTTTCTGAGTCTACTAGTAATATTACTGCCAGGAGTATAACCTACTCAAGATACAGAAGCTCGACGCCCATGTTTGGATTTGCTTTACAGAGTTAATGTTTTGGTTCGGTAAACAAGAATACATATACATCATTGCTTCTCCCATTGGTCGAATACTCGTGGTCATTGTTAGGATGTTCTGTGGCTCATAGTAGCATTTCGTTGATATCATGATACCTCCCATGGTTAGTAGAAATAAGTTCGTATTCATAAAGTGTACAATTAGGGGCTTGAATTGTTGGCGTAATTATACCCATTTTTCTCAATCTATACTCACAACTTCACGCACCACTACATTGAAAAGAAAGAATAAATGAGATAGAACTGATGTATTTCTACTATAGTAGTATATACCACCTAACAATCTTCTGGAAGAACACAATCCCCAGTCTAGAGCCAGATTAGCAGAAAGAAATCATATTAATTGTATTGTAGGGTACCCACACTGTCCACAACATAACCTTGTTTACATCTACAACCTATCACACAGTTGTAGGTGCAGTAGAGAGGCTCTGAGTCATCACTACTCGAGGGACATGTTGAGCCACATTTTGACCACTGTGCATTATCTCCCTGATCAAGATCTCATAGCTTGTGAACTTGCTAGCTGGTTTAGGTATGTAATGATCTTAGGCATCGCTGGGCACCTATCAGAAGGGGAGTCCTAGAAGGCTAAGGGCAAAGAGGAGTGACAGGGCCTTCATGAACAAATGTTCGGATATACAAGTCTTCTGGGAGCAAGTGCACCTGGAGGTCGTGGGAGGAGTTCGGCAGATAGCAAAGAGACTTCCATGTACAAATAGCTATGAACGCACAATAGCAAACCAAACATGAATACTGTGGACTGGTTCCTGTTTGCAGTCCAGGGTGACTACATACCACATTGTGCAACAATGGTTGAGGGGTACTTAAGATGGTGAACAAAAGTGATCATAATTTGAGGCCTTCGAAGGTTGTGTGATAAGGATCAGTTGTGTGATGAAAGTTGATTATCAGAGTCAATAATTGTCGATCATGTAACATGTGGCGTACAGAAGCAGGTCAGCATTCAATATATGTGATCAAATGTGTCCCTTGTGATATTGAACTCCAATAGAAATGCTGTCGGATCAATAGTATCTGCTCTGGGCTTTTTTGTAACAATAATTGACCGCGGAAGTCCTGGAAATATGGGAAGATGTGTTATATATAACGAGGAAGTCGTCAATGGAGCATTACAGGTTTTCTTTTTTTCCCCCTTTTTTTTCTCTTTTTTCTCTTTTTTCTCTTTTTCTAGTCCTATCTACTCGATCAAAGCTCAATGTCGCCTATGTGGTTGCACCCTGCCCTAGCACTTGACTGGGTCTCTGGTGCCTTTTGTGAAACACCTTTCGCCTGCTCAGCACACTACACATTTGAAATGCAGACTTCAGCATGGCTATATGTTTAATATGCAGTGCAGATACAAACAGATAAATTGTGATCACACAATTAACTAATCTAGGAATAGCTTCCGGCTACAGCATTCAGTACACTAGATCGCCTCGATCCTATAACAGTATATGCCCTCAGCTTCTAACATTCTGAAGGAAGAATGCATTCACCGGCCTGGACAAGGTTAGTTGAGATAATTTATATCGTTGGTAGGGGACTCACACTACTCAAGACATAGCCTATGTTACACTGACATCCTATCACACATGTAAGAGTACAGTCAATCTCCGTTGTAGAAGTGCATGTCAGGGGACATGCAGAACCACACGTAGTATACTCAGAGTTCGGTCCCTACATAAGATTCAGCTTTCAGAACAGAATTATAGGATATAAGGTTCATACACAAGGGGATTGTGCGGCAGCAGTCAGAAGCAGAGTACCTAGAAGTCCAAGGGCGAAGGGGAATGAAAAGTTCTTCATAATGATATATCTTAGATCACAGGATCTTCGTACCGTTATTCAAGTAATATGCCAGTGTCCCCCTAAGGCCTGGCGGATATTGTCAGTTTTTATATCTTTGTTAGGCACGATGAAAGGATCAGCATTATACGGCCCGGTCAATATAACTCACCCCTTCGGGAATGCATGTACATGCTGACGAGGTTTATCACATTCCTCCACGTGTAGCCAGGACAATTGAGCTGCGAAGGCATCAACTAACTAGATGAGAGCTTACAGAATGCTTGAGCAAGTCGCGTGATAAGACCTTTTAGTGTGATAAGAGGTGCCTTTGCAGTTTGCTAGCTTGTCGAATAGCAACAAAACAACACTACTACCTGCTGAAAGTGAACATCATTGTGCATAACCCATCTTCCCGGGTGAATGGAAATGAGCGTTCTGGGAAGTATGAAGTCACGAGGAAGCTGCTAGCTCGAGGAGGCTGAGTACCCAAGGATGAGTCTGCTGCACCTGGTTATAGACTAGTGGCATCTGTACAACATGCCTTTGATGATCGACAGAATACCCGCCCCAATAACGAGACTTTGTCACAAAGAAGAAAACACTTACTCGATAGCTGGTCTCCTCAGACCTGAAAAAGGCCAACGAGCTCTTACCAAGGGGAAAGCTTTTGTTTTGTAGGTATGATAGTGATGCAGTGTTGCCAACATGAGTAAGCTCGAGAATGAACCAGGCCCTTATCTGGGACCACCTAGCAAAACCAATCAAAAGTCAAACCAGGGGTGACGAGTAAGGAGATCCCACCAGTAGCGTATGAAAAATGGCAGCCAGTTGTCCATTGTTTCTGCTGTGTGCTATCGTTATAACAAAAGGAAACGAGAGCTGAGATATGTGCACCCGTGACAGAGTTCAATTGCTTTTCCTACCCCGCTCTTTATCACACCGCCGCTATAACAGGAACAAATAAGACCGCTTGTGTACTTGTCGGATAATATATCTGGTCGAGAGAATAGATTACTCTGTCCTCTCACCCTCGAAGTTCAATCACAATATTGAAAATTGGTGCAGCATTTTGGACACAAGAATTACTATCACAAATAACCAAATGCCATAACCTCCTACCCCGCCTCCTTCCCCACCACTTTCCCCAATTCCTCCACCACAATCTCAGCAATGCTCAACACTGACGTCGCCAAATCCATCTATGTCAAAAACGGGGCATTCAAACCCATTGAACTGAATATATACTGGCTTAGTTCACCGACAACATACTATCCATGCCCTACTCGCTCAATGGCAATTTCGACTTCAACCTCCGTTGCGGCAATAGAATAATGTTTAAAAACTTCTTCGCTACCGCTCGAAACACCGATTCGCGTAGTTGCTTCTCGTCGCCTGACGCCAGTACAGTTTGAACTATCACGTAGGGATTTTAATTGCGCCTTCGGACTGGGATGCCCGGCGCTGCAGGGCATTGATGAGTACCGAGAAGCGGGTGTTGTCTAGATCGTGCCAGAAACCTATAAAGCCTTGTTTGCGGTGGTCTCGAAGTCCAGTTTATTCGATATCAGTTATTGCAGCCTGGGAGGCTTTCAAGCAAGGCCTCGATAGCTGGAAAGGTATCTCTGTGTTGGTCAAACGGTTGGGTACAATACCTTTTGTTCCCTTACAAAGCCACCACAATTCTGATGTGCTCGTTAATCAGATATCTCTTTTCGTGGAGCCTGTCTTGACATTGAGTAATACTACATCCGCCTATGTGGACTCAGTTCTGCTGCGCACACGTTTGAGACATTGTCCAGAGTCTGTCCCACAGATTCTTATTTGATCCATTTATCGCAATTTGCTGAAGAGGCAATTGAGGATTCAGTAAACATGCTCGAACTCGTCGTCCAAACCTTCTAATCAGTCAAATGTTTTAGGATCGCCCCTGTTCGATGCTGGCTATACATGTTCTGCGCCTCGATATATCTACTCAAGGCAAGTTTCAAGCTTTTGCCTCATTCTCGATACTACTGATTCTCAGGCCACCCTCAGAAGAAATGAAGAAGTTGACGGCAGTTCAATAAGTCTTATTTTGAAGGTTATTGATGGCATCAAGTAAAATGCCCCAGACGATATCCACATGTCTAGGCACTACGCAGTTCTGCTGGAAATTCTCGTTAATGCAGCGGTGCGCACATCGCAGCCAGCCACAACCCCGCGCAACAGAGTGGATAATAGCAGTCGTACATGTACGGGTGAATCAAAACATCTTTTCTTTGGGATTAACTGCTCAGATTTCGGGCAGGACTGGATATGGGACCCCAGTATATGGGAAAGCTTGCCTGACATGGTCGGATTGGACATTGTGCCCGGCTTTGTTGAGAGTATGGGCGTTGAATGAATTGATTCAATCTAATACGAGCTTGTTATGAATACAGCAGGGCCTGGCTGTTAGAATATAGAGATAACAACGCAAAGTTCATGTAATATATCTCTGCGGAATGTTTGGGGGGTCTGAAGATAGACATGATATATCCTGTCATTCTGCATATCGCGTCTTGACAAACCCTATATTATATAGTAGCCCTTGTTCGCACTATATCCAGCCTCATAGCGGAGCAAGCTCTCCCCCTTCACTCCCCACCCTTCTGCCTCTCACCCTCCACCACCATCCTCTCCTCTTCAGGAAAACTAGGTGGACCCCCCAAACTACACAAAACCGCCTCCCCATCCGCCGTCAACCCATCCAACACCCCCAACTCTTCCGCTCCAAACCACCTCGGCATAACCCACACCCGAAACGGAATCAACCCTATAATCAGAATTGGGAACCCTATGGCCGCAATAGTCTGAGAGATAGCCACGCACGCAGCGACCCCCACAACCTGCCACATCACGTAAAGAACAATCTTCCGCTTCGGAACACCGAGTAAATTCTCATTCCGCGGAATGAACCGATCCTCCCGAAGTAGAAAGATGATCTTTTGCAGGATACCGTTCGATTCAATGGAGCCCCAGCCTACTATGAAGAAGACACCCGCAAACACGGCGGCCGGCATGGTGTGTAGGACTATCAGGAGGGGACCTGTCATGGTGCCGATTATGGCCAGGCCCATGAGGAAGTGGGAGATGCGTTGCTCGATTACGGCTGTGGGGGTAGTGACGGGATGGCAGAGTTCGGTGCATTCGGGGTCGTCTGGGTTCGAGGTGGGGATGATGTGGAGGGTTGTTTGGGTGACGGTTAGGGACGTGGTGTGGACGGGGGCCTGAGTTGGTAGATTGTTTATTATGGGGTTTGTGTACGTGGGAAAAAAAGTGAGTTGGGGTTGTACCTGTGGGACGAGGCCGTTCGGCATTGGGATGCCGGTGATTCCGGCGATGAAGGTGGTGCAGCCTAAGAGGAAGAAGTCCCAATGGAAGCCGGCTGGTTTCTTTAAGGGGTATTGTCTGCTTTGAGCACCGAGGCTGCTGACATTCTGTTTCGGGGTTAGTATCGTAAATCGGGAAAGTAAATGTCATGTTGACTGGGGATTGATTGACTTACATGGTCATAATAGAAGAGCAGCATGACCAAGAATCCGAAAGGTAGGGCTGCGAAGACCCACCTTGTATCCAACTCCCAGAAATGAATCAGCCAGCCACGCGGCTGTGTCGGATAAAATGCCCGAGTTATGGGCACGAATGAGATACCGGTCTCCTTGAGGTTGCCAGGGATATGTGCGAATCCTACCCAGAAGATGGTTCCAATCTGGTCGAGAGTGAGTGTAAGGTCATCAGAATTCCATAAGGGGTAAATCTTACAACATAAGCATAATCAGCCATTAGTCCACGAAACCATGGTCGGCAGATTGTGCTTGAGCCCAGCAACTCAAGTCCGTATATTGTGAAGAAGTACAGAATGGCAATGATGCAACTCATGAAGCCTGCAGTTGGCCCGTAGACAGTAAACTCATTAACGAGCTCTTCGACGCCCTTTACTGCTCGGCTTAGTACTAATCCCTGCAAGATAATAGTCTCCATCAGACTTACTGCAATAGATAATCCCAACATATGCACCAAATGACTCAGATGAAAAGTCGGTCACATAGCGCATATAGTCACAGAGGTTGCACACAGCAACAATCCAATGAAAGATCGCTGCCCAGATAGCAATCCAGCACATGAAGTTAGCGTATATGGCGGGTTCGTATATGACTATAATATCATATATGGTGTAGTTGAACAGCGATATTAGTCCAGTGATACCGACAATAGTAAGTGGTTGTGCGCCCAGGACGCTGAACACCATAGCTGCGAGTGCTGAGGAAAACAGCGCTTCGTTGATGCCGTAGAACTCTCCGGTTCGGCGATACATATCCAGTGTGTAGGCGATAGCAGGGAGAATACTGAATTCGTTAGAAAGAATAATACCAAAGTGGCGTATTCAGGGACCTAGAGCCTACTTAACGAAGTATATGCGAATTGTACTTGCAATGGTTCGATAAGTGAGCGCATCTCGAACATCACTCCAGTAGTAGGGTAGTCGCCGGCGGACATCGTAATACATGCCTCTGCATGGATTCAGGACACGAAAGCGTCTCCATCCTGTCCGCTCCTTATAAGAGTAAGTATATGGACTCTGCCTACTGAGGTACTTGGTGTCGGGCATGGTGGTTTGATTATTGTCATGTATAGGACAGGGACGGTAGGAAAAGACGGTCTCTTATTTATACTAATGATTACTGGGCCTGTACCAGACTTCAAAATCCTTTCGCTTTTACACATGTCCCAACCGATTTAGCCGATTTTGTAGGGCCGAGAGGGAAAGTTCTCATGTTGGCGTGGACGGTCAACTGCCCTTTGATGATGCGTCAACACAACATACTGGTCGCAGCCTTGTAGAGAGCAAGACCTCACACTAAGTTTACCTGCTATCTGACCTACTCATTCTAAATATATACTATCGTCCTGTCCACCTCGCTAGAGCAAAGAACTATCTTGGATAACTGGGTTGAGCGATGAGAGAAAATTAGTCAGCAATTCTGCCCGAGCAGAATCTGCCCTTCTTGGCATCCCAGAGGTAGCCGACAGCCGAGTAAAGACCCTCTTCATAATAGTATGATCTCAGTATCTTCAGTAATAAGCTATTGTTGAGGTATAATGGACTCTATAGCACTACCCCTTGTTTCACAGTTGTCGAACATCCTTCAAAACCCAATCTTTCCGGCGCATCTTCAGTCGGCCGTACAGGCTGTCCGGCAGAGTCTGGATAGGAAGCAGAAGCGTGCAAGTAAGGACGGTGGCTCAGAAGAAGATGGCGTCTCGCAGCTCTACCTCAGAATTGAAGCTTCATTAGTCCATAAAGAGACAAGTTCAGCGCAAGGAAGCAGGTTAATCTTGGTAAATATCAGATTTTCACCGACGATTCCGACCTTGCCTGACTTTGCCTAGGGACACATTGATCTTCGAAGTGGGAAGGCAGTGCCGTTGCCTCCCACTCCGGTCTCAACGCCTGACTCCAGGGTAGGCTTACTTGGTGCCCAATAGTACAATGATTCAAGTAACAGGTTTTACAGATTAGCACAGAATATGCTACTACCACGATCGACTCCAACAAATGCCGTGATAACGGGGACGCTCAGAGCTACCCCAACAAGCGACGCAAGACCATAAGCGCACTTCGACCAGCAAAGGCGACCACCATTCATCCAGACAGATCAGTTGATTGTGAGTACGAAAGCTTATCCTCAGCAGCCGCTGCCGATTCCAGTGGATCCAAGCCTTCTGTGCGACAGGTCCACAGTGACACCCGCTTTCCGCAACGAAAGAACCCACGGCAGGAGTATTCGTTGCCTGTTCTGGAACCGACCTCGGCCGATAAGCTTATAGCAGGGATATGGCGACAGTTACATTCGCCTGTAAAGCTGAGTCGTCTGCCTTCGGTATGATCCTGTCAGGAGAGGAAGTATGATTCAAAGGCTAACAGATTCAGATCATACAATCCAATACGGACATCCGAACCGGTGTCAGTCTTGAGGTAACCGTCCCGAGAGCATTAACATGAACTTGACTAACAGGAGAAGGTCTTTCGCGAGATCAATACCCTATGTCTGAAATACTACAACCAAAGCCAATCTTCCCGTGCTCTGGAAATGATCGTCCAAGCATACTGGGTAGAATGTTTCGAAGCACGCGTTGCCGTTATCCGACTAGAGAAGCCCCAACTATCAATCACAGATGCGCGAATGATGGTTCTGAAGGAGGCTTGCATGGTTCTCGATTGGAAGGAAAAGGATCTTCGTAATCGAATGTACTTCTTTCGCCTCTCTCATCGACTGATTGCATTACTAATGCATACATAGGGCTATCTGGCGCGGTTACAAAGAAATCAAGGACACAGGCGGCTGGGCATGTCTCATATTCGCAAGTACCGGCATATATCGATTCTGCAAATATCGCACGGAGTTCGGGGAAGGATTGTTTACCCGCCTACGGCATCTACGATCTAGCTTCGAGGTAGCGGCCGATACTCTTCACCCGGGATGGCGGGACCTGCTGCAAGTTATCAGGCAAGATACGTCCATCGCATATCACGGCCATCCGCATGAGTGGGTAACCATGTCTGAGGATGCAGCTGTCCCTCTGGCTTCGACATACGCGCATCTCAACCTTCCTCAAGGGTTTCAGTACCAGTTCATTGACGTGTGTGTACTAGATCACGCTGTATTTGGAGATCAGGATCCACGTCATGTCTCGGAGCTAGATCCCGATCTGTGTCTTGTATGCAAATCAAGACAGTCAAATGAGATTGAGAAGAATCAATGCTTGTGCTTCCCAGCGCTATTTGGTGGTGTTCATCATCCGGTGCCGGTTCAGGTATTTCGCACGTCGACTGGGAAGAACAATGGTGTCATTGCGCGCTGTGTGAGTGATCTATTTCCTTTACCTGAGCATCACGCATCCTTTCTTTGATAACTTACTGACGCAGAAGTAGAACTTCGATCGCGGGACCGTCATAGGGGAATTCACCGGCCTCATTACAAACGGCATAGAAGGAGTAGACGTAATGCTGGGTGGCTCACGAGGTCGTACATACCAAATATACCAGGGGCAGATGGGCAATTTTACCCGATTCATCAATCACTCGTGTCGACCAAACAGCCAGTTTCAACGGTTTTACTGGAGGGGCATGGAGCGCATAATCGTGGTCTCGCGGGGCATTATGACAGGGACTGAAATCACTGTCGACTATTCGGATAATTATTGGCGCCAGTTGAGCAAGAAGTGTCTTTGTGGGGAGTCGTGTTGTCGGTTTCCTGGGAGGGAGGGATAATTGTTTCTACGTGGGGCATACTTGCTATGAGTTGGGGGTTTATATAGTCGGCACCATTTCGTTTATGGGAGTCTGGACGGGATGCTGATGTCTGCTGGATACCCTATCCATACTTCCCCTTCATTTACCAATGTCTTTCATAACGCCGTACGTGGTTAAAGCATTTTAGGTCCCCTGGTCCTTATCGAATAAGAATCTGCTTGATTGTTTGGGCCAAAGTGATTTTTGGGTACGGCATAACTGGCTGAATTTCTATCCCGATCTAGTGTTGAGTAGAAGGCCATCTGGACGCTGCATGGGGTAACGTTCTAGTCTCAGATTTAGAAATTAGACGAGAACATTGATAACAGGCTACGGTGTCTCTAGCATTTCTACTTACATGGTCCCACGAGTTGAGAGACAGGGCTGGAAATATATGCTCCTGTTCTGGTTGCCGACTACTCAAGCAGCACAGATATCACTTCTAGCTAGTGAGCTCATACAGTGGGCCGTTGGCTTTCATCATTATTAGAGCCTCGGAAGCTGAGCAGCAAACTTACCGATAGCGTGGAAAGGAACGCATGGGCCACGGCATTACCAGTGCCCTGTCCTTCTATACCCTCTCGTTTGGTTGGCTTCCGAGATTAGACACTTCTTACGGGAGTTCTTCTTGTTGGTCCAGTAACCGCAACTGCTTAGCAACCCCAATTCGGCTAAACGCAAATTTTTAGTCCTTGGTACATGAGTTATAAGTATCTTTGTCTCTTGCTATCTATCTTAGCAAGAAGGATCGGTGCGTTTCCAGCAGGCAGCGGGAAGCCGACTATTGCACCTGATTGTTCAACCGAATCCTCTCAACAACTCAAAGGTTGACACGCCATTTCACGTACGGTACGACTTGCACGGTTCCACTGAGGCCTGTGTTGACGGGCTCCGGCAAGTGCCTGGGATCGGTGAGGCTAATAAGCGGTGGATAACCTGCCATTACGATGCGATCAAAGATGCTTCGAATATAATTCCACATTACGGTGGGAACCTCAATCACGACTTCGTTTCGCCCCTTCTGCAAGTAAGAGCCGATATCTAACTTGGGTGCATTGTAGTCGGGTGGTGGTATTTGGTGGCCGTTGACCTTCACACGAAGAGTATGCAGGACCTTAGGGAGCAGGATATATGCACCGTCTGCCGAGCCCGTGTGGGGTGGCCAATCGAAGCTGGTACTGTAATACCCCAGTCCAGATGCATTCGTGAGGCTTGGTATCTGAGTCCATGGGACGAGAGCGTCTAAGTGATGGGTGGTATTAAACTTATAAGCGATCTGGGAGGCATCGGACAAGTTGGCCGGAGAGGCCCAGTGCTCCGCCGTGAGGGACCAGTTGCCGAGACTGAAACTCTTTCCTACTCTCTCGCCAGGAGGGAAGGTGTAGTTTCGGCCGTCGGAGAGGACAAGAGGCCGGTCAATCGGTCCAGCGGTGACATGAAGCTCAAGGGAGTCGGAGGAGTTTTTTTCAAACTCGTACCCTTGGATCGTGGAAGGGGCCTGAATCGCGTGAATCGCCGGTGCACGTAACCACTGAACGGAAGGCCCGCTAAAAGCGATCAAAGTAGTCTGATTTGCCTCAAGTGCGAGAGGAATGAGGGTTTTGCCGTTAGCCTGATGGTACTCAAGTATCGGCTTACAAAGCCCAGTCCACATGTCAAGAAGATGTGGGGTTTTGTCGCTGGACACCACAAGGTGGCCAGTGCTGGCATCACCGTCATTATAGACGAATGCGAACTGGACATCTTCCCTGACTGACTCACGCCAGGTCGTGTACCAGGTGCTGTTGGTTTGTACTCGAATTCGAGGATCCAGGTTGAGAGAAGCTAACCTTCCAATCAGCTCGCCTTCGGAGACCGCAAAGACGTTCTTGGTGTGTTTCAGCTCAGATATAGCCTCTGTGAAGATTGCGTGACTAGGAGCGCTAGCAGTGGCGTATTGGGGCGGATCTCTGCCAACTAAGATGACCGGTAATCCCGCCTCTGCGAAGTGTCGAATCTTACTGATGGACTTGTATGTTACATTTGATGTGCCGTAAATAAGTAGGGCCTTGTAAGCTGGGCTGTCCGGTCCAAGTGTCATGTTCCCGACATATGCTTGCTCAAGGTCCAAGTTTTCAGGGGATAGGTAGTTGTAACTATAGCCTACGACAAACATGTCAGCAAAGGTGAGTGGGCAGCTGATAACGGAGAAAGATGCCTCGCTTACCTGCATCAATCAGCCGAGTCATATTTCCTGCGTGCCAGCGGAAGCTAGGGTCTGTGGCAGACTGCTTGTTGTAGACAGCGATATCCGTCTTCAGAGGACCTGCTTGTTGACTGAATTGAAGCCGGCTCACGTATCCCAGGAAGTCGGCGAAGCCATGATCCCAGGCCGGCTGTTTATTGGACCACAATTCACCGTAGAAATATGAGAATGCGGTATAGCCTGGCCATGTTGTTGCCCAGTAGTTCCCAGTATAGGACAGACCATGAATGACAAACTGATTGACGCCTCCCACGACCGCGCGGTTGATAGACCACAATAGGCTAGAGATTTGGTACCGGAATGCAGCCATGGACACGGCGCCCATTTCGTTGGATACGATCCTCTTGCCCGCCAGTATAGCCGGTCCAGAGAACTGCCTGTAACCATCAATATTGTCCTGGAATCCAAGGCTCTCACATTCGGGTGCGTTTACTACGGGAACAGTCGCCTCCATATCCATGGGAAGGTTGTAGGCGGGCTGTACTGACATCTGCAGGCCGAGATCTGTTGTCACCCATTCTGTCAGTCTTTGTAAATAATTACTGTATCCCTCCACCAGTGCTTCGCGAAAATCGTTGACGTAGCGAATCCCTTCGTCGAACGTGTCCGTAACGCACTGGACGGGCCCCGGATTGCTTGACTGGATGGCAATATTATTGTTGTCAAACATTATCAAGGGCAAATATTTGATGAGATTGTATCCATGCTTCTGCTCAAACAGGGTCGGAAGGGACCTGGACCAGGAAATATTCGATTCGATTTCGATGCTGTCCTCCCAGGCTATAAAGCATATTAGACAGGATTTAGAGGAGTCATGCTACCTTGGGCCATTCTTACCATAGTTTCCCGCTTCAGCAAGCAGGGATCTCACATTCTCACTCAGGACGTATTTATCCCAGAAATTGATCACCGTCTCGGCCCCTCGGGAACTAAAATGATCAACCATGTATGCTCCGTTTTCAACAATCGCGTCCGTTTCATTCGACGTGAATATCAAATTTTGATCCTGGGTCAAGCGTTGATAGAATGCGAACAGCCAGTACGTGCGTTGGCTGGATCTCGTGGGATAGGTGATAGACAGATGTCCAGTGGAAGACACCTCATCAGTTCGATCCGTGAGCGAAGATTCTTTGACAACCAGACGAGTGTGGGGAACATGAGCAGCGGACGACGCAGTGGAGTTATCAATTCTTTCCAACACTTCGGCCGAAATGACCGCAAGTAGTTCACCGGTCCCCCATCCCGGAATGATCCCAGCAAAGGTTCCATTGGCAGGAATCGCTGTCGATAATGGTACCTGATGGTAAGAGAAAAGAAGGTGGGAACGTCAGCTTCACAATTCCAAGGTAGATGAGCTCCTTTCACTGCGGTGAAAAGATAAATAATAAGGATATTGTGATAGAGCTTTTCAGTCATTTATCACTTCTCGTAGACGTACCAAGTCCCACTGCAGGCCTTCGTCATTGGGATCCGCCGGTACACCCTGCCCTTGATTGGGTCCGATGGCAAAGTCCATCACCGTACCAGCATCCCGATGGGCTTCTAGAGCAGCCTGGAACAGTCTGTTAAATGCAGGTGTGCCAACTCCGTATCTGCCCCAGTCGTCCCCTGGAGGAGCAGGACCAAGGAAACCACCGGCGTTATACCAAGGCAAGTATTCCACGCCTCCCGCTCCCACATTTGCGGCTGACTTTATGTCGTCTCTCATGGTCTGCTCATCAACGCTGGGATCAGGAAGCCAGTATCGAAATCGAGGCCGTGTGACCGCTGATGGGCTTAGGAATGTTCCGGGATCAATGTTGCCGGAGAATTGGTCGTTGCTGCCAGCCCTTGAGCAGCATACTGTAGAAGTCAGAGCAAGAACTGCCCATGGGCTGAATCGGAAAATAAACATCAGGCCGTGGAGTATTTGTCCGAACGATTTGACTCCTTTCTCCTGTAATTTGAGGGGGGTGCCAACCCCTCATTTAAATAGATGATAGGAAAGACCCATCTAGACAGGAATCTTTTGGACGCCACATGCCACCGCTGATTGAGGATACTCATTCACATCATTATCGTATTCGTGTTCGTAATAGCGGTGAGGATTTTGCCATTGTACCGATGACGACCCCAGAGAATATCGGTTTTCCACCCTGAACCAGGGTGATCATTACCATGGGTTTACTACCCAGTCTCTCCCAAGGTGCCTAATCTGTATTATTGCGTACTGGCGGTCACTCTGACCCTTTGGCCTTGCTGGTGATGACTCCTTTGGCTTTGGAATCCTTTCATTTAAACATATTCTAGGAAGGCAGAAAAAGCAGTCATGTTGGCGCCACGGGGCTGATCATCTAAACATTTTCATCCCGTACCACGGTAAAGTCCACATATTGCCCTCTTAATGGTCACATCTATCTTATGTGCTTCGGATTTCTATATAAGCGTATACCCTTTCTATTCACTACCATAACGGTATTTTGTGTATCCGGGCTAACAGCTGCACCAAAAATAACATATTCTGGCTATTCGGCCAGCTGGCGGAGATATCTCCCCTAGCTTCTAATAATATGTAGAGTGGCGTCAAAAGGGTAAAAGTCAACTTGTCCCTGCTCGTCAACATACTCAATTGAATTGCCCAGGCGCAATTTTGCTTCTCTGCGAAGAAAATGCGGGGCAAGTTGGTTTAAGATGCATGAACCCATTACTGTCGTGACATAAGTGGCCGCAAGATATCCTTCAGTGCCCCATGGAATTTGCAGATCGATCTGAGGATCTAACAACGATGCATCTTGGCTGCGATAAGCATAAGATTATCTCAATATATCAACTGCGTTTTATATTAACTGCCTTTCTGACACCGTGCATTCTGAGAAGGAGCCGGCATTCCGTTCGAAGCGAGTCAAATATGCACGTTGAGCCGCGATTCTTGTGCCACCCCGATCCAAGGTCTATAACCTGTGACAGTATACTCAAAGTAGAAGCAAATGTGGATATCGAGTATCTAGTGTATAATTGCAATATTTTCAAGTTGAATGTCTTCGAGCTTTGCGCCGTTATCGTTTAGTGCCCAGAATTGCAGGGCCATGTACTTCCCTCCGCGATGATTTAGAATATCATCAGAGCTTGAATATGATGTCTCTAAGCTTTTATCGTTCACTGTACTAGAAAAGGAAAACTCAAAGCGAAGTGACATCTCAGTCCTCCCGTTTCAGATGTCCGGCGGCCGGCTTAGTGAGGCATTGTAAGGGCAGACGTAAACCATATTTCCAGATATACTACCAATAAGGGAAGTTTAATTTGAACGCTGTAACGAAGCATCCTATACCCCATTCCAACAGGCCATTTACAGGGAGATTATGCTGTCAACCGTGGGCGGGAGCGCTGGAGGATGAAAGCCTTGTCGTTCAGCAAAAGTAGCTTGAGACCGTAATCGATAAGGCCTCGCGGGTCCCTTCATAGTCTCTAGCTTTGCAGAGAATTTTGTATTCAGTTCCATGTTACCGATCAACATTGTGAAAATATAGGAATAGCCGGGCTCCAGAGGATCGGCGGAATGTGGCGTCTGGGTATATTGCTTCAATTTTCTCTTGTTATATCTAATTACCCAGTGAGAGACAGTATCCAGTTTTACGAAATGACGGGCCGGTTGTGGTACAGCATTGATAGTAGTGGACGCCGTATGTCCATAGGATACGATAGCAAAGAGATTTACATGTCCCCTTAACACGTTCTGGGTCAGATAAGAAACCAAAGGCATCAGACGAATGATCATGGCCAATCAGAGATAACAGAGCATGACTATTATTACCCGCTTCGTTTTTAAGTTTTAGGTTGGAGTTTGAGGCTAAGCCATAAACGCATTAGAGAACGAATACGGGCGGTCAGTAATTCCCATTCCGGAAACGCAAAGAAATACCCACATACCGTGGTCAGCACATTTCTGGGTGAGCATCGCCCTCGGCATAGGGTTGGGCCTGATATTCTGCGGACGCTACAGAAGGAGCGGGTAGCAAATGCGTCCATCCGTCTAGTATGCCACACCCTCGCCTAGGTGCCTTCAGCGCGTGGAATGACCTAGAGTTTCTTTGCTGTTCGCCGTAGTTATAAGGTGGTTAGAGATATATTCTAGGAGGTGCCAACGCCACACCGATCAGGCCTCCTAAGGTGATCGATAGAACTGATTTACATATTCAATTTCCCCTCTGGGAGCCAAAGATGGTCTGATTTGGTTAGTGTACAAATACCAGACTTGAGATATTTTCTGTGTTTACACTTGATTGACCCGTACGGTTTTATTCCCAGACAAATAAGAATGTATGGAAAAATTATGGATAGAGCGTCGTGCTAAAACTAACTCGTAGGAAGTGGGTAACTATTGCATGGGTCTTGTGAAGAAGTGGTCTAGCTACAACATCTGCCGTTATTTCCCTTTTGGGCAGAATAGCCAACCCTCTCAATAAGAGGATAAATGTAGGTTTTCTTTCGTTTATATCCTTCTCTCGCCCCCACTTGCTCCATTAGCGACAAAATAGAAAATTTGGTACCTAGGAATCTGTTTGAGAAAGATGAGAATAAGACATTGAGAATGAAGAAGCACAGTAGACATAAGTTGATCAAGTGGTCGTACGAGGCCTACTGTGCAAGGCAGTATGGGTCTTCTGCTTGATTATCAGGCTACTCATCTCTCACATCAGACATTAGCCGTTGTTACTACACCAAGAATGTAATAAGTCTTTTCATAACTCGCATGCCTTGACAACAGACGTAATATGGGCAAGCGATACAGCCACACAGGCCTTGCTACCTCTCAGAATTTCGGACACTTTGTGACGGGAAATCATACCTGCAATTTGTCCATAAAGTTTCTACGGGGATTCTCATGTGATTGAACAGATCATAAAAGACTACCGCTATATTGAGATAGCTTTGTGCAAGCCCACATTAGTAATTGACTCTGCTGAGCTTTGAACCATTTGTATTTTATGTAGGGAGGGCCATCATATTCTGGGTATAATACTAAGTACATCAGTTTAATACTAGCATCTCTATGTTCGTTCAAGGATATTGTACACCACGCCGAAGCAAAGACCGTGTTCTAAGATTGACTCTTGCTCCCCGGCGGTCCTCTCAATTGCCACTTAGTTTTTGTATCTTTTACTTATTTTGCTCCCGTCGTTTCGCAGTAGCTTACACAAAGAACGGGCGCAAGCGGACACTGCTAGACTGGCCATTCGGCAAAATTGCCGTCTTTCCTGTGGAGATCAGCTCACTCGGATGGCACATATTGTAGAGCAGCATCTGCATGAACATGAGGGCCCCGTCGAAGACGTAGAGAAAGGCCTCGTGGCGGAGTAGGTAGCCGTTGTTCCCTTGAATATACTCGATAACGCGAAAGACTAACCGCGCCATAATAAGAAGGCAGGCGGCGTACATCACTAGCAGGTTCTTTCGCCATGGAAGACCTGGGATAGTGAGCCGTGCAGCAGACTGGTTGCGCTGCATACGCCAAAGCAACACGGTAGCGGTGACTATGAACAGTCCAAAGAAGGCGATCTGGATGAACAGGCCGGCAATCACAACATCTTCACCCGTCCTCATCCCGTTCGCTCCGGTAACCATGAGTCCGGCACCTGAATTCATTATAACGTCAGCATACGTGTAATAATACAGGCAGTGATAGGTGGGCGAGGGAAAGTAGGATAAATTATAAGGGAAAGCAGATCAACAAAAGGCTTATTGTTATGAAGAAACGTAAGGAACCATAGACTCACCGGCCGCTTGGACAAGGAAAGATATTACATCTCCGGAGACGAAGAATCTCGTCAACCATCGGGGTTTCACAATGGCATATTCTGGATGCTTAGTGATGAGAATAAGTCTCCCCAGCACCATATATATGGAAGCGGCGAACAAGGCAGGAGCAACGAGAATTAGAAGACTTTGAAGTACATAAGGCCCTAAAGTCCAATTTGGTGTCTCATAATGTCCTTGAGCACGGCCAATGTATCCGACACACTCAACTAAACGATATCAATCAATGATGGTCAGTTATCTACTAGTCCTCGAAGAGGCTCCACTCTCTCCACCCTTGGGGGTAATGAGAGAATTTGTGGGGATATGGACGGCATATTGCTCACAGTAGCCCCCTATAACATAAGGAATAAAGCACCAAGTGCGTGTACGCAGCATTTGAATCGTGTGAACCACTGAGCTTATGCCGAACAGAATCGTGAAGATCAAGGCCGCTGGTAACGAAGGATCATAGTGATAGTAGGTCCAAGTAGAGTCATCGTTGGACATGTTGAATGCTTTCCCTTTGCTTTCTGAATGGGATAGGTAATAGAAGAAGGTGTTGGCATTTCTGCTAGTCTAATGATCCCCCCTTTATAGTATTGGATTCAAAGGGCAAGAAGATCCTTCACACAGGGACCCGGAAAGTCATTTGACCGTACTCGTATTATTTATATCGCTCTAGGGAACTTTGGCGAAGGAATGGAAAGGGATGTTTCTACGGACAGCTACGACTGACACGATCCATGGGAATATATGCTGAAGAGGCTGTTGGGTCAAATTCTGGGTTGCTTCCACAAAACAAGCTTAAAAGGCACGTTCAATTCTGTACCTTTTCCCCTGATAAATTACGGTATCGTATTCGTATCTGGCATATTTCTGGACACCTTTCTTACAAACTCTACTCCACCCCACGATTGACCCTTGGATCGTTTAATCAGCCTTGTTGGTTGGTCCACGGTGGCTATGGACGGTCTACCGCCACAGTCTGAAATCCCACCTGGTGCATCCGGCGTAGACGAAGAAGAGTACTCCATAGGTTGATTTTGTTAGCAACGTCTGTCCGACCAATCAGGGTACCCTTCGTCAACTCTGTGTGGGTTAGTTTGGCGTGATGATAATGAAGTGCATTATACAAACATCAACTGCAAATGGCATGAAACTCAAGGCTGGATGAACCTGCTGCTAAGCATTGTTCACAGTATTTGAGGCACGATCTCCGCAGTCGTAACTTCAATCACATCACCATCAGATCTCTACCATCGGCCTCCGCTGTATCCTATAAGGTTTGTAACTAGTTTAAGAATAGCTTGCCCTGAACGCTTTCTGAACATGAGCCTTAAAGATGCAAAGTCCCAGGCACGGATCAAGGATAGGCCCAAGCTATTGAGACAGACGACCTGGTGTGACCTGTACCTGCGAATGATAACTGGTTTGCTGTAAGTAGTCCCCTCGATTTACTTCATTTCTCCGCCTCCCGCCTGGGCTGCTCTTTGTTCAGCCAATGGAATGACATTGTGTGCAATGGATTGGAGATTATTCGTCCCTTCCTTCATTTATTTTCTTACGTGAAGCATTGGGAGGAATCAATGGCTCAAACAGAAGTCCAGGTTGACATGTACTGAGAGTAGGACTCAAATGCTGTGACCGAATAGATTCTATTCTATACTGATTCTATAATGTAGCAAATCTACGTAGAAGGGAATACCCGAGGGCTGAGGTTTAAGCTATTTTTGAATGACTGTTATCTCTGGATACATAGCTGGAGGTAATTTGGAAGCCATAAGTCAAGGGAACGGTCACTTTATATATCTACGGTTGGGGAGGAGGTGTCCAGCAGTATACAGAATATAGGGTACAGTATCATGCATATAAGAGAACAGTGTAGTTGCTATACGCCGAAAGCTGCGCTCGGAACGCCGTTGAGGCGGATTCAGCCTTACCGCACGTGATAGTCTGATACGGGAAGGGGTTGACCCCAAAGATGAAGATGGGAATGAGATCACCGACCGGCTCATGCCATCTCGCAAATGATATTTTCTGTCTTTTCCCGCTTTTCTTTTTCCTCGCCGTTGGCTCTTGGCCTTGCCAGGATTTGCCATTGGTCGGTCTTCTACAATGCCATCGCGTCGGTCACATCGCAAGTCTCGTCATGGATGCATTGCCTGCAAAAGGCGAAGAGTCAAGGTACTGTCATGCTAGCTCCCCCTTGCCTCACTGCGCGTTCAGTATATGTCAGTTCAACCGTGTGTTGTAGCTCTGCTGTACTGTATCTAGTTCCACGGTGTCTCACCAGTCTTCTTACTCACTTGCGCTTGCAGTGTGATGAGCGTCAACCGGAATGCAGCAATTGTTTGAATCGCAGCACTGAATGTGTCTACGCTCCGAGGGATGAGTGGATGCAGCCTCCACAGACCGAAATCTCGTCTGGTCGCCGCAAATCACCCACTACGTCTTCGACTCCATCATCCTTAGGCTGGATGGGCAGCAGCGACCCTCTTCCGCAAGCCCCCGAGCTAAATCTTAGCAATATGGAACTACTTCTGCAGTGGTGCTCTTCGACATACGCCACCATGGCCCACGACCAGCAGTTCGAAGATCTATACCGATGGGTGTTACCAAAGGAGGGCTTAGAGTATCCATTTGTCCTGCATGGCTTACTAGCATTATCTGCTCTCCACATCGCTCGTACCAGCGATCCCGTCTCTAGGACCCGCTACTTCTCCATCGCATTGGAGCATCAAAACCGAGCACTCGCTTTATTCCGACCTGTCCTTCCTTCCATCAGCCGTGAAAATAGCCACCCCATCTTCTTATTTGCCAGTTTACTTCTGCAATTGGCGTTCGCCATTCCTCCTTGTTCTCCGCTCATGGCGGACCATGACTCTGTACAGGACCTCATCCAGGCATTTACACTATGCAGAGGGCTTCGAGAGATTCTGGGCGCATCATGGAACTGGGTCAGAGAAGGGAAGTTGGCGGATGTGTTCACCCAAGTGGATGACACCAAACATTGGCCTCTACCCGAAACCGTTGAGGTTGCCCTGTCCCAGCTGAAGTCACTCAATGAGACTCGGGGCGGACAATTTGGGGACCATGACGTGGACTGCTACGGTGCGGCTATCAGTCATTTGAAAGACATGATGGAGATCTACCAAGATAAGCCGCGCCGTGTCGAATTGGCCCTACGGTGGCCTTTCGGCCTTGAATCCAAATACCTGAAGCTTCTTAAAGAAAATGACCCAATGGCACTAGTCATACTAGCTCATTATTGCCTTGTACTGCATCATTTCAGGCACCATTGGTGGATGGAGGGTTGGAGCTTACGCGTTGCGCGCAGTATTTGGGATCACCTGCATGAGTCCTGGAGACCCTATGTGTCTTGGGTCGTAAACGAGGTGGGCTTAGAGGTGTGAACCTGATTAGACCCACACATATGCTTCATCTCTTAACTTGTTCTCAATATTGCTTTGGGAAACCCCAGAGGTGAAGCCTCAACTGCAGCTTGTGTTTCTGAGTCAGCACTGGGCTTCTCATGAACTGGGCCATGGTGAGTGACTCGCCTATGTGATGCCGCTTCTGGCAGTGTTTAAGTGCCCTGGAACCCTGGTACAGGAGCTGTTCACGTTTTGGGCAATTCCAACGTAAATAGCACCTTGGTCCGAGAGAGTCACTAACCGCAAAATGTATGCAATTCCAGCATGGGTGACCATGACGGAAAATGGCAACCTCATATAACAAACCGCTCTCCCCCGGGGTCTCGGTCATGCACTAACTTTGACCGGAATCTCAACTCCATTGGTCTGCCATGTTTTGGGGTTCACGGACAGTCCCGAGTCAGTCGCCAGATTCTCTCCATGATAAGAAAAAGGAGACAGTGTTGGTTTACCCTGCAAATGTCTTTTGACGGGGGAGCATGCGGGAGGACTCGGCCAGAAACAAAAATCTCCTTACCTCTGCACATGTGGCAATGCCGATAGTCTTTCATCGGGGTAGTGCCTTTCGATACTCACCTTTTCGTGCCTTTGAAACAGCCTTTCCGCTTCCCCTTCGTCTCCTTCACTTCATTACCCTTTATCCGGGAATATACTATTCTCTGCGAATAATTGTCTCCGGTTGGACTTGCGCCAGCCATTTCTGGCTTTACGTCCATAAGCCTGAGACCCATAATGATTGTTCTCGTCAGAATTCCAGCCATGACTAGAGCGATTCATGATGCCCCGTTAGCCTATACTGCTTGGCACCATATCTCACGTCTGTAGCAACTGTTAGGCGGATATGACGGACTTCTGGTTTGAAAGGCTAATTTTGCTGATCCGTCTTACCAGTGAGGAAAAAGGTGGGGGGGCGGGGGCCCCAGATCAGCAATCTTGGTTTTCAGGTTGCTGTTTGAGTCGTTTTGACTGATCGAAGAACGTTATGCTAGAAACATTGATGAGTAACTGAATGAAGCGTTACCAGATCGGTAATACAGAGGTGGTCGCAATGAGCGGTACTATGGAAACCAAGTAGGGAGAAGCACGGGAACCACTGCTCCTGAAAATTTGGCAGCCGATCATGGAAACATCCATTGACATTATAGACCTTAACGTTTGATGGACGAAGTAACATGTGCATGCAGAACTTTCTCAGGTAATGTCATGGTAAAGGGGAAGACTGTCCTCTGGATTTAACGCGTAGATAGCCAAGCTAGACATTTAAAAAACGACAAGATGCTTAGACCCTGCAAGAGCAAATGGTTCCATATCACAAGATATAGTTATAAGCCAGTATTTCAGTATAATAAGTGTTAAGCTGACACGCAATCATGGTGAGGCTTCTGAGCCGAGACTCGAAGGACACTAAAAAAAATATCTTGGATAGAAAGTAATGTGGAAGAGTGACATCAATAGAGCCACAGACAGATATTAAGAAAGCGAACAATGTGTCCTAATTCTATGCCATACTGGTTTTCCTCCAACCATAGGCCAGAAACATTACTGAACTTCAAGGAAGTTATGGCACATGGTCTTTTAACATTGGCCCTGCAATTTACTTTCGGCTCCACGTGTAAGACCCGAGAAAGACAGGAGCGCAGTTTTAAGCTTAGAATTCGTAAGCACTATACACAAATACAAATACAAGTAGGAAGACACTATACCTAGGGGACGTTTAGCCATGGTACTCACAATGGACTGCGTAAACCAACAAGACCCGCTTATGCGAAGTCGGTCATGCTCCGCGTCAGCGGATCTCCAGGAACCCTTTCCACTGATCGTCAATTTTACCTATTAGTACGTACTATTCAGGTGGAGTAGCCTTTATGAGCTTGCTCATAGCCACCCACAGAATCGTTTTCGTTTCATATATTGCCTCGTACAGGGCAAACTAGTGCACACATACTGTACAGTGCGGTTACTGATCGTATGCACTCAAATCTGTAACCTAGCGGGCTCTCTTGCAGTATTCTGATACACTGAGGAGAAGGATACTGTCAAAAATATCTACTTTTTAGGTCGAAGAATGGCCCGAAATAAGATTAACCCACTTACTAGGCAAGCCAAGCAGGGCGAGCTCCGGTCCTACAGTCAAGCTTTGCCATGCCTAGATTGTGTGGTCGGACGAATTGGGTGTATAATAATAGAGTACAGATAAAGTTTTAAGCCAGGATCCAAACATTAGGATTCAAAACTCCACCAAATAGCCGCCCAGCCAGCTCGTATTCGTTAACTAATGATATTCTTGATACTATGTACTCCGTTCACGATTACACAGCTCCACAGTATTCTAGGCGCAACTATATTCATAAAATCCTACTGCCAGCCATGCCCCTTATTACTGTTTGGCGCTTCGTCACATTATTTAACTTTCTCTGACAGACCAGGACTTTTGCTTCGTTTGTTCTCATTTTGTCAGCGGCAGTCCCTCCTACATGAGAAGATCTAGTTGGCAATTTCAGACACCCAGTATCTGAGGCTATATATTGGGAAACTTCAATTCTACGAATCGCTCCTCAGACAGCAACGTCAATGGCTGATGGTAATGATGGGTACTCGCTCTACAACTACAAGCCAAGTGTAGCGGCTAGTGTTGTTTTTGCATTGGTATTCGGAATCAGCGCAGGTCTCCATGTGTGGCAAGCATTCGTGAGAGCCAGGGCCTGGTTCTTCACGGCCTTTATTGTTGGCTCCTTCAGTACGTTCGACTTTATCCCTGGGAAAACACAAGAGAGCTGCCGAGTTCGAAGATGGGAAATAATCCTTGACTAACCCAGGAACGAAAAAAATAGTGATGACATTCGGATACATAAGCCGCGCCGTCTCTGCCACAGACCCCAATAGCCTCGGCCCCTACATCAGTCAATCCCTGTTGATTCTGCTCCCACCCTCACTCTACGCCGCCACTATTTATATGTGCTACGGACGAATCGTCAGGTGCACCCAACGACCAGAACTTTCTATAATCGCTCCGACAAAAGTGACCAAACTCTTTGTGATTGGGGATGTCCTCGCCTTCCTCCTACAGTGCAGCGGTGGAGGAATGATGGCTATAAATGGCCTGGGCAACATCGGTCAGAAGATTCTCGTCTTTGGCCTATTTATACAACTGCTCTTCTTCGGGTTCTTCTTATATGTGTCGGTCAAGTTTTCATTGCGGATTCGCAGCAGCCCGACCAGGGTGCCAGGTGGGCCGTGGAGGAATCTGCTCTACATCCTCTATATCATGGCTGCCCTCATCATCTTCAGATGTGTTTATCGAATTGTTGAGTTTGTGCAAGGACATGACGGCTACCTTGTTTCGCATGAGATTTTTATGTATCTGTTCGATACCATCCCGATGCTGCTCGTGCAACTTATCTTTCACAGGTGGAAGCCGTACAACATGCTCTCGACGACCGAGACTGATTTAGGATGCGGTGAAAGCTACGTTAATCTCCAGGGGCTACGCTAGGGAAAGGGGGTTTTTGTCCTTGCCTTGGTTATTTTGAACCCTCGTGGCGCGGAGATTGAGTATCTCGCCAATTTCGCATGCCATGATGGGTTGGTCATGGCTGCCATCTTCGTTAACTCCTAAGGGCTGCTCTGAAGAAAATGAAGGGTCGGTGCATTTGTTCTTCTGTGCAAGTGAACACTGCCTGCCTGTAGAAGTCGCGTCGATGAACCAGGCGGTTACCTTGTAAACTGGAGATATGTATCATAGTATCAGATAGCGTCCAAATTTAATCAGCTTCGAGGCGTTCATACTACTTTAGATCCTCTCAGTCGTGACCTACTCCGTGCCCTATCTTCTAGTTTTTATTTGTCATGTCTAGCTATTCTTATATTGATTTACCTTTCTTTCGATTCCCTTTTTAAGACCCTGTCCAATATGGTTACCTCTCAAGAATTTTGTGCTCGACGAACCAAGGTCACTTACATTGAAACAACTCTGTTCCTAATCATCGCCACCCCTATCTATACATCCTCCTCCTCTCATCGATCCCCGTCGTTCTAGACTAGACGTGAAGCCCTGGTCAAACACACCCAAGTGCGGGTCGGGCCCGGATGCCTCCGCCTGGCTCTCCTCGTATTCGTACGCTAAAGAGTACCACAATCTTGTCAGTGTGAAGGAGCTGGCTATTTTGCCGTTTAAGGAAATCCTTCCCGCTGGTTTGAGGCCCCACTACTCCCGAAAGATATTTGTCACAGACATACGCAAAATTTTGGATGAGATTCGTCTATGTAGCAATGTTTGTGGGCTCGGCATACGATTGGACATCGTGAATTAGAAGCAGGGGCGGAACTGAACAGCCTGGCCTTCATTTGTAGCCAGGTCCGTTACTGAGATGTAGGTCAAAAACAAAACCTAGTGAGAATCATCATCAGGCACTATCGCGCGGCCACATAACAGGGCCAACATACTATACCTTGATTGGCTCGCCATATCAGCATCCCTGATATCTCCTGTCTTTATGGTTCAGTCTTTCTCTTCTTTTTCTTCTTCGCAGCTCAGCTATATCGTTCTCTTGACACACTAACATACACTGTGTTGGATTGTAACCTGAAATCTCGTGTACGATTTTGATATGGCTTCACAAGTCAAGTCCGACACCTCCTATCACGCATACCAACCATCTCAACTTCACCATCTGTTTCATTCTCATGTTCCCTCTCAACCCCCAGCACCGCACATCTCATTTTCCGTTTTCAATCTATGAGCCCTCACGAATAGCGCAACCACCGACGCCAACCCCCAAACAGCAAAATACATAACCCACGACATCCGCAGCGCCCGAAAATACGTCTCCCTGATAGCAACCAGTTCATTCGCTTCGAGACCACTCAACTTCTCCACATTCGACGCCGCAAAGGTCCATATCAAACTCCCACGCCAACGCATAAGTCTATCGGCCAGTGCTCCATTAGCAGCCGTCATCTTGTTCTGGATTACCACGCCCCCAGCTACTACTGCTATCGCGGTGACAAGCGAGCGGACGAAGCCTATTGTGGCTGATTACCAGGGGTAGAATACATCGCCGTGGTCGAGGGCGAGGAGGATCATTAGTGCGGAGCCCACGATTAGGAGGATGCCGGTCCAGTCGATGGTTTTTAGACCGGTAATTCGGCGTGTTCGGGAATTAAGGACGTGAAGGTAGACGACGAGGACGGCGAAGGAGATGGCGCCGATGGATACTGTTATCAGTTAGCTGTGGGTTGGTGGGTAAACATGTGGTTGTAGACGTACGGTTGATCCAGAAACACCATCGGGAGCTGAGTTTCGTAACAAATACACCACCGAGAACAGGTCCCACAGCGCTTCCAACCGCCCATACTAATGATGTGATGGCAAGATATAGACCCCTGTCTCATAGTGAAAATAGGTTGCTAATGATGATATCAACCATGATACCCATGCCTGAGCCACCAAGGCCCTGGAATACTCGGCCGGTGAGGAGGACGTCCACATTCGGTGCTGCGGCGTACAGCACGCTACCCCCCAGAAATATAGCCATTGAGATTAGAATCAATGGCATCCGGCCCCATACGTCGGCGACGGTGCCCAATATGTTACGGCGGCGTATGCGAGAGTGTATGCGCCACTTATCCACGTGTAGCCGGTGGCAAAGTGGAAGGTGCTTACTATGGAGGGGGTGGCGGTGGTGATGTTAGTGAGGTCAAGGGTAGAGGGTGAGAATCGTGCATGTTATGGTTGTTCAAGTGTTGGTGGTTCGATTTGTGGTCGGGAGAAGGTCAGTTGGCTGGTCATTGTTAGCTGTAGATGGTTGTGGTTTGCTGGTAATATCGGGGCGGTCGGTGTTGTTCTGACTCGTGGACACAGGCGCAAGTTCGATCTCCTGAGTTCGTGTTGTAGATGTCATGGTATGAAAGATGGTCAAGGGAGCTTAATGATACAGGCTAGAACTATGAAAGATTGTGGTTAAATAGAAGTAGTTAATCAAGTGTTGACGGGCGAACGAGCAAAGGATTTGAATCCTTTTGTGTTTATTGCTGGACTTAACAGGAGGGACTACCGCATATAGGTAAAATTCGAAGCAACTTCAATGGGGTCAGACTTTTCATTTTTGATGCGAGTATTCTAAAACCATAGACATTTGTACGATTGAAAATTCTGGACGTTGCTGATTATATGGATAGGTTTCACAAAGAAAAGAATATATATATTCATAAACGTGTGTTAGAGCAACACAACACATCAGTAGAGATATGTACAGTCTAGTACAATCTATCTAAATAAATCTATCGATCAAGCGATCTATCATCGTCGATGATGATTATCTAAACAAGTACAACACCCTTACTCATCAAGGGCAAACCGATCCACAAAGCGGAAAGTGTAAAGTCCTTTCAAGACCTCCTTGGCGATCTTCTCGGTGGTCTCGCTCGAGCCAGTGTACACACCAGAGCGGGAGGTATCAATACCAGCGTTCTTGAGCGCAGCGCTACCGCTACCCACAGCAGCCACGGGCTTACCGTACCTGAAAGAGTCGACCAGGATCTGGTAAGGTCTGGCAGGAGGGTAGAGAGTAGAGGTGGCGGTAGAGTTCATCTGGTTAGCCAGGGAGGGAGAGGCAAAGAGGCTCTGGACGCCATCGGCGATGATGAGGGCATCGAAGTCGATAGCGTCAGACAAAGCATAGGTGGTGTTGACACCATCGGCGTAGGCCTCGGTGACGATGTTCAGGTCGACACCAGCGGCAGAGAACTGAGCGGCCATGGCCTGACCCTGCTTGATGGACTCGGGGTGAGAGTTAGAAGCGAGGAAGCCAACCTGCAGACCTTCGATGCTCAGGAGGGGCTTGCCGAAGGTACCGACGTTGGAGGTCTTGTTGGAGGTGTAGTAGGTCGGGTTGGGGGAGGGCTCATCAAGACCAAGACCACGGGCAACGCGGACGGCAAGGTTGTTGTTGACCATGTTCAGCTGGTTGACAACGTTCTTGCGAACGTGGGGGCTGTTGACCTTGGAGTTCTCGAAGACAATGGCGTTGACAACCATCTGCTGCTCAGCGGGGATCAGAGAGTTCCAGAACATGGCGGGCTGGGACCAGTGGTCGTGGAAGGTCGGGCTCGGCTCGCGGATGAGGTGGCCAGAAGCGTAGCGGTAGGGCGAGGTGAAGAAGCCGTGGCCGTGGGTCTGGTTGGCTTGCATGGGGTAGCCATTGCTCATGGTGTTGGGTGTGTAGGCCCAGTTGTTGGTAGGGATCTGCTGCTGACCGAAGCCGTCACGGTTGTTGTTGTGAACGGGCTTGCGAGGACGGTTGACGGGGATTTGCTCGAAGTTGGGACCGCCGTGACGGGTCAACTGGGTGTCCAGGTAGGAGAACAGACGGCCTTGCAGCAGGGGGTCATCGGTGAAGTCAATGCCAGGAACGACGTGGCCGGGTTGGAACTATAGAAATTAGAATTTGACTTGAAGCTTAAAGCAACGGGGGATACATACACCAGCCTGTTCAACTTCAGCAAAGTAGTTGGTGGGGTTGGCGTTGAGCTCCATCATCCCGAGAGGAGTGTAGGGGACAACCTCCTCAGGGACCAGCTTGGTGGGATCCAGGAGGTCGAAGCCAAAGCGGAGCATGTCAGCCTCATCCATGATCTGGGCTTGCAGCTAGAGGATTGTCAGCGACCGAGATCATGAGTGAACAGGAGCCGGATTGGGGACTAACCTCGTATTTGGGGTAGTGACCGTTGGCGATCGCATTGTACAGATCCTGACGGTGGTAGTCGCTGTTCTTACCAGCAGCAGCCTGAGCTTCATCCCACACCAGACTGGCAACACCCTGCTGGGACTTCCAGCGGTAGCGAACCACCTTGGAGGTGCCATTGGCAGCGACAAAGCGGAAGCTGTGGACACCGTATCCGTTCATGTGGCGGAAAGAACGAGGAATACCGTTACCAGACATCAGCCACAAGGCACTGTGGAGGGCAGTGCTCTGCTGGCTGAAGAAGTCCCAAGCGGAAGTGTGAGCAGTCGCGGCCTGAGGGATCTCATTGTTGGGCATAGGCTTGATGGCGTGAACAAGGTCGGGGAACTGGATGGCATCCTGGATGAAGAAGGGGGCAAAGTTGATTCCGACGATGTCTAGTAGGGACACAATTGTTAGCATGTACGACAATTATTATTGTGTGTTGTGATACAAAGCATACCATAGTTACCCTCATCAGTGTAGAACCGACAAGCATGACCGTGAACATCACGCGCGGTATCGACACTTCCACGGAAACCGACAACAGTAGAGAAGCGACAGAACATCGGAGTCTCCTTTTCATTGGCACTCAAGAAATCGGCAGCCGTGACGTTGGACCAGTCGGCATAGGACTTGAAAGTACCATATGCACCGGCACCACGGGCGTGGACGACACGCTCGGGGACCTAATTGAACAAGAAAACTTGGTCAATTCATTGTTACACACTGTGGCAGCTACTATACTTACACGCTCATGGTCGAACCGTTGGAGCTTCTGACGGAAGATAAAATCCTCCAACAGGGTAGGTCCACGGCGACCGGCCTTGAGACTGTACTGGTCGGAGATCGGGGTCCCGAAGTCGGTAGTCATGTAGCTACCGGTGTCATTAACATAGAGAGTGTTGTCAATGGTCTGTTCCGTGACCTCAATGGTATCGCCAGCATTGTCCTGCTCCTGAGTGAAACTCATTTCACCCGACAGGTAGGGGCATTGAGCCCCAGCGATACCAGCAACAGCTGGCAAAAGCCAGAAATGACGCATGGCGGAGGAAACGAAGACGAAAAGTATTCAGAATGCTGGGATCTTCCGAGAAGCCTCACCAAGGGGAGTCCCCTCGGGTCCTTATATCGGCTTCCATGGCGAGGCCGGTAAACAGCCCACGCGTCTTAGTTAAGCTACGAATCCAGAATTTGAGTCGATTTACAGCCAAACGGCGTCGGGACTTGGTAATCCGGACCTTCCTGTTGGGGAGACGAAGGGGCTCCACCAGGGTCATGCAATGTTGATCACTCGATGTGATGAGACGAGGAACGCAATGGGCTCAATCCAAGAGAGATCACCACAATAAGTGACAAACTGGTACTCGGTGACAAGAACAAGTACCTTCTGCATGAGGCTAATCGGAAAGTACACCCACGTTGAGTTAGCACATGGGATTTCTATAGGCTACTAATGACTTCGCTTCATACCAATTTCGGAGATTTAGTGTTGTGCCTGCTGCAAGCCGAATAGAAATGCGCTGAGAGCGGGTGGCTTGCAGGCATGCCAAGGCCGTGGGTTAGGCGTGGGTTACTTCAGCAAGCGGTTCTGGACACGCGCTGCTTGGTAAGAGGCCAAGCCGATGAACATCATCATCTCCACCGACTTGGTTTCAAGAGGTTAGGGCTGGTGGCCCGATTGGTGCGGCTGCTTGGTAATCCCCAGAATCTGGATCGTTCCGCCGGTTCCACAGCCAGACCAGCTACCCAGACACTCTATCTACATGTTGCGAACGAGGTTTCTGCACGTTTCTGAGCTCTGGACCTCTCCCAGTTATTAATCGGCCATCATCCCGTGCCTTTCGACAGGTGCGTCATCGAGTGTGGGAGGATCGCCGATGAAAAGATGACAATTGTCAGAGAAAGGGCTGGTCAGGTCATCACCCGCCCACGTGATCGGGTCTGGAGCAGTGGGGGGTTAAATGATGAATAATAACTGCTACTAATCAATGAATGTCACTAATGAAGGAACCCCCAGAGTTATGCAGAGGGTAGTTCGCTACGAGGGGTTTCACTAAACCTCCTTTGTAATACGGCCAGCCTGGAGGCATCTACCATGACGCGCGACGTCGCACGGCCCTTCACTAGAGCACCAATCTGGCTTGACTCTCTCTAATCCTCGATGCTGGCTGGCTCTCTCCCCGCACTTGCCACTCTTAGTCAGTTGCAGTTCTGCATCTCTGGCACCACCCAAACTTCCTCAATTCTCCAATCGTTCTGGCTGCAATCCTTTGACTCAGCAGCCGATGACCAAGCACCTCCCCGGATTTGCAGATCCTTGCGGGGTGAGTAATCCGGCGAATTCGAGCTGCCGCAATCCGGGTGCTACGAGGGCGTGTGACCGGGCCATTTCGGGCCAGACAGAGAGGGGTTGATGAGGGGAAAGTGCAGAGGGGAAACCCTATATAAGGTGCTTCCCAGGGACAGGCAAGGGTGTGACTGGAAAAGTTTATCGTGGCATCATCATTCTTGTCTGAGAACCATCATCCATCCCATCAGACATCTGCCATAGATATCACATCTCCGCATATCCACATCCAATATCCAACCATGGCCGAGGCTAAGTGTCCTTTTAGCCAAAGCAGGTCTAACGCCAACGTTGCTGGTGGAGGCACCCGCAACACTGACTGGTGGCCTGATCAGTTGAACCTGGGCATTCTTCGCCAGCATGCTCCGGCATCCAACCCTTACGAGCGGGACTTCGACTACACCGCCGCTTTCAACAGCCTCGACTACTATGCCGTCAAGAAAGACCTCCATGCCTTGATGAC